TTTGCAAATAATAAAATACAACAATTAAATTGAATTTTATTAATTTTAGAAAGTGAAGTCTATTTAAAAGTACGGACATATACAAACCGACAGCATACACAATAATTTAAAAGATAGTTAACTGTATTAAATTTAGTATATTATTTTATTACTCAGTATTTAGTGGAAGTTGGGTGAGTGATTATATTATAGAAGTGTCTAATTAATCATCTTTCTAAACTATAGATTCCTAAAAATAGGGACAGTGGTGTATGCAATGCGAGGTGATCCCTATTCAAAAATGGCGGAAACAACAGCAGAGCACCACCGTCACCACCACCACTTGGTACTAAAATCTGCAATATGTTCCAGACTCCTCCTCCTCGGCCTAATCGTCTTCTTCCGCACTCTTCTCTCACCCTATGACACATCTGCAGCGTTAAACCCTCCGTGCCTCTCCACCCCCAACGCCACACTCTTCCTCCCCTCCAAAACGACGTCGTCTGGGACTTCCGTCTACTTCTCCGCATCGTTCAGTGCGGCGACGATTACGAACAATCCTTCGCCTTCCTCCCTCTCTTCCTCTCTCTCTTTCCCTCGTCTCCTTCCTCCCCACCCAAACACCCCTCTTCGTTATCTCCGCCTACCTCATCAACAACCTCGCCTTCGTTCTCGCCGCTCTCTACTTCTACAGACTCTCCTTAACCCTATTGAAGGACCCCGACACTGCGTTAAGGGCTACTCTTTTGTTCTGCTTCAACCCCGCCTCTGTCTTTTACTCCTCCATGTAAATCTTCTTTTTCTCGCACCTCTTTATGGATTTCTTGCCTCTGTGTTTGATTTCTCCTGAGATGGCAGATACTCCGAGAGTTTGTACGCTCTTTTTGTGTTTTGGAGGGATGTATCACTTCGTCTGCGGCCGAAACAATTTGGCCGTTCTTTTCTTCGCGCTCTCCGGTTGTGCAAGGTCCAATTGCGTGCTTACTGCTGGCTACTCTGTTTTTCATACAGCATCGCTCTTATCACGATATCACGCCCTGTTTCGCCAGAAGGTCCTTTTGGTTAGTTCCTCCCCCCTCCTACATTCTCCTTTTAACTGCTTTTCCTTCCCACTCTTTTGGATAAACTTTTTTTCGTAGATCTTATGTCTTTGTTTTACTACATTGCTTGTCGCTGTCGGATAATATACATTAGTATAGGCGTAGCATTGGGGCCTTGAATTATTTATTTATTTATTTTTCTTCTGAAAAATCCAAGACAATTTGAGACATAGCACAACATGTTTGTGGACAATGTAGAAGCATTGTCTTTTGATGAACGAAAAATGGATTTTGGTTTTCCTCCCCCTTTATGGATCGATGTCAAGAAAGGAATGTGGGTTCACAATGGTTAATCCTACTTGTAGATGAGAAAGAAATTTGTGATTATTTGTTTTTAGTAATGTTAGATGTAATTTTTCTTAATTAGGTTTGCAGAATTGCTTACAATCATGTTTTATAAGTTTGTATACTTGTTTAGATGTGTATTTTAAATAATACTCTATCCTACATATTATTTAGAATAACTGTATCGTAGTATCTCATTCACATGTCAGATCTGTGTCATAATAACTTCTTGATATGCGTAAATTGATTTTAACACCCAGAGTAGCGATTCCATTCATTTTACCTTTTTTATTTTCTTTTTCTGTAATTGTTTGCCAGGAAGTTTATCCAAAAATAGGAACCTTGATAAATGATTTGGAAGTCTCTGAGTGGAAAATGTCATTTGCATTCAGTCTCGCATGACTGTCTTTGTATTGATTAACGATGCAACTGTTTTCCATGTCTGGGAATTTGAATCAACCATGTTAATAATTTGCAAAATTAGGAATGTGGTTGCTGATGTTAGATGGAGAAAGAGAGGTGAATTCAATGAACTTGGCTGCTAGCCTGAAGAAATATATGGTTTCTTCAATATGTGTAATGTCATTTAAATAAATGACTAGAGATGGTTATGGTATTCGGTGTGGAAGATTGAGGATAAAAAGTGGTAGGGGTGTGCTATTGTATGCTACAAAAAAAAAATTGAGGGAATTTTGTAGTTGTGGATATTTCATGTGATAAGTCATAAACTAGAAAAGTGTGTAACCCGAACTAATAATTTTCTTAACTTGCTTAATTTGTTTCTTAACTATGTCCTTGATGCAAGGACCCTCATTAGGAAAATGCATGTGCGAAGACAGAAGAATAGAAATAAATATAGTAACTAACAGTGTTAAGTAGTTATAACTCACTGGGATACAAATAAAGTTATAGCTCAGAGAAGTCCGAGTAGCTATAGTTAACTTCTCTGTCAGTGTTAGAATAAGTTGGACGTTGGTCTGAGAGGGAGAGGGAAGGGAAGTTGTTTGTAGTTTTTACTGGGAGAGTTTCTAGGCAGTCTTGAATTGCCACGAGTTGCACATAATTTTCTATTGCCTGATATGGATAAAGGATCCTTTAATGAAATCCGTTTTCTTTCTGTGCTATTGCTTTGGATCCCTACCCTTCACCACCATTCTATCAGTGCTAAAGAAACCTTTGTAAACTGAGGTATAGACGTTGCTCAAGTAGTTAGGGTGTTTTAGGATTGATTTCCATTTCAACTGAAAAGAAAAAGGTTTTCAATCATTGCTAGCTTGAAATATAAACTGGAATAATGGATTGATTCTTGGTCATTTTTCCAGTTAGCTTTGCAGATTATTTTTGTTGGAGCTTTACGCACTGCATGTATTTTTGCTCCATTTTTAGCTTTCCAGGCTTATGGCTATTACAATATGTGTGTTGGTCGTTCTCATGATGAAATAAGGCCCTGGTGCAAGGCAAGGATACCGTTACTTTACAGCTACATTCAAAGTCATTATTGGTATGTTCACTATTAAGTTCCAAAATTTATGTTGATTTATTTTGCTAATCCTATGCTATTGGCTGAATATTATACTCTATTCTATGGCTCTATGCAACCTATTATGATGTATTTTCTTTGTAGTGTATAATGTTAGAATTTGGATGTTTAAATATTCAGTTTTCCAGTTGATCATTGTTAAGTTCTGATTGTCCAGGGGTGTAGGTTTCTTGAGATATTTTCGGCTGAAACAATTGCCTAACTTTCTTCTTGCATCCCCAATACTGTCTCTGGCACTGTGCTCGATTGTCCATTATGCCAAGTCAAGGCCTCAGAACTTTTTCTCATTGGGTTTTTTAGCTCCAATGGAAGAAAAGAGCTGTGGATTTGTGTTTTCGTCAGGTGATCTCTCAAGGTCCAAAGAAGCTGATAGTGTGGGGAAATCCTCCTCTGTTAGGGTGGTAGAAGGTACGATTCTCAAATTTACAATTGTGTTTCATAATTACTTTGCACACTTTGAAGTGATTCACTAAATTGGGTATAACAATTTAATCATCTGCGTTGACAGTTTTTATATGGTGGTGTATCCTTTTCATTCTCTCACATGCGGTTTGGCCATTTTGTTGTTTATCTGGTGTTCTGGTCATTCCTTTCTGCTGTATATGTACAGAACTACAAGCTATACTTAATTGCTTCATCCATTGCTCTGTACAGCATATAAGCATGCTACATAATCTTGTGACTTTGAATATTTAATCAGGCTTTATATCTTACTTTCGCAACCGTAACATTACTCACTCCTTCAACAGAACACTTAAATCTTAGGAGAAGAAAGA